GATACCTTACGGATGTACAAAAAAAAACTGCAACAAAGTAAAACGCCATCATTTTTACATTTTTTAAATTTTAAAACAAAAAATGTCGGAAATAGCATCAAATTTACGAATAAGTTTAGATTTGCACGAATTATGGCCTTCAAACGGCCAATGAAACCGTCACACGCTGCCCGAATGTAGCTCGGCTGGATTTTTGCCCATTCCCGGCGAGACGCTTGCTTGAAGTGATCGACACTTTCGTATATTTTAGTGCCTTGCTTTTCAAATTACTCCAGACACAATAGTCCAACGCATTGGTATCCGGAGATTTTGCGATGGTGCTGAGTCCTGTTGGAATGTCCAAGGTCTGCAAACAAAATGTTTGCATGCTCAAGGCTTTAATACACCCTCCAGAATATTTTCGCGATAATATTCGGCATTTATTCTGATGCCATGGTCGATTAATACGAGCGGAGAGCGACCATCGGCTGTTATTGCGGCCCACACCATCACCATGGCCGGCGCTTGTGTTCTGATGGCCAACCGAATGTGCACAATTTCAACTGACCTCTTTGGCAAGTAAACTCGATCATTTTGTTTATTTATTCTCATCGGAGAAAATCAAATTCGGCAGTTCACCACTTTCGGCCAAGCGATGCAAAGCAGCTCTTAAGCTCTTTTGAGTCAGTTTTCTTTCTGTTGCGTTGTAAGTTCTTGCACTTTTTGGAATTTCAATGGCTTTACCCCGAGCTCATTTTTCAATATTTGTCGAATTGGAATATTGCGATATGTTCAGCTCACAAGCCATTTTTCGGCCACTGCGACGCGGATTTCGTTCAAGTCGCTTCTATACTTATCGAACCATTTCTTCTGATGTTGCTGTTTTCTTCCCTCCAATTCTTTGACGAGATGGTACGAGACACAAAAGATCTATTCACATTTAAATGCTGGAGTGCTCTAACGATAAGAACATGTAGTTCTCCTGCCAAATATAAAGAAATCACACTATCACACTTAAATTCCACCACGAAGAACTTTTTTTCTGGAAAATTCTCACCAAAATGCTTTTGTACGCTTGTAAATAATATAATGAGCTGTCACTGGAATAATATTAACAGCTGTCGGACGAGTGGCTTAGAAATGACAGCAGTCTGAAGTTGGTTGCAGTTTTTTCATCTCACCCTGTATAAATCTTAGTATGTGGATTTTTGAAGAATATTTTAAAAAAGAAGGTCAGGATGGCCAAATGGGGGGGGGGGGGGGGGGTCGAGAGTTGTAATAATGCATTTCTTTAACATTTCAGGCTGAAATTTGTCAACGAGGATATTAACTCTTCTAAAAAATATTTCAATGCAAGTCCCTCTTCTGACATACCTACAAGGACTTCTTCTGATTTTCGTTAGTTTTAGTGTTTTTCAAGAATTTTTTCTAGGGTGACGAGAGCTATAATTATGGATTTTCAAAAAATACAATGTGGATTTTAAAAAAATATTTTTGAAGGATAAGCAGAGCTAAAAATGAGGATTTTTAAGGAATGTTTTTTTTTTCTCGGGGATGGTTAGGTTATAAGAGTGGATTTAAAAAAAATCTTATGATAGGCCAGACTACAAGAGTGGCCTTTTTATATTTCTCCATGAATTTTTGATGAACAATTTCAAAAGGATAGTCGGAGCAGTAATCGCGTTTGTCAAGAGTTATAACAGAGAATTTTGTTAGAAAGATCAGGCTGTAATTAACCACTTTGTCCACTAGTATACAATCTCTTTCAAAACATACCTACAAGGACTTCTCCGGATTTTCGTCAAGCAACATGTCAGGGTTTGTTGGATGGCATGAAAATTAGTGAATTTTTTATTTTAAAAACAAATTTGGCCTTATATGAAGCCATCGCCCTGAATCGATATTTTTAATGCTGAATGAGGGTTAAAAACCCTTTATTTGCCTCTAACGGTTCCTTGGTTAATCTCATAAAACATTAATAAAAAAATGATTTCAACTTTAAAAATACCTTTCTCTTCGAAAAGCAACACCAAAAATAAATCTTCGCATCGTATACTTAAAATAATAAAAACATTTAAAAACTTATTGTTCCGAACAATAATAAAACTTTAAAAATGCCTTCTGAAACTTATTTAGACCTATACATTGCTTACATCCAATTGACTTATCCCCCTGACGTAAATAATTCTCTTGTATGACGTTTAAATTCTTTTTAAATTGTGTCATACGGAGAATTCCGGTGAGTTCGTGTAAATATGTGTCAATCGGTCACACCTTTACTGAGTCAAGCGGTAGATTGCTTCTTCATGTAATTATTTATTATAATTTGTAACAGGAATAAACCTGTTTGAAAACTCTCGCGATCAATTATTTTAATAAATATCAAGTGATTTCAAATGAAATGTCGAAGTATCGATTTTACAAACGCTGAGGTTGCTGGTTGTTGGCTGTATTACAAGACGAAAAATTTAAGAAACTCGTTCCAAAAGCCGGTTTAATTGATTTTTGTGTATAGTAGAAGATTTTGAGTATATAAAATATATAATACAGGTAATTATTTTTTTTTAAATAAAAACAAGTCAAAACGTGACTTTAAATTGACGAGGCTGAATTTTGGTTTGACAAAGAGCTTTAATATATATATAGCCTGGAATTCGATATTATAATAAAATTCTTCAGAATGTAAATAATTGGGGTTATCGTATGGGTAGGTACATACGGAACATTTTTGGGAATTCGAGATATAAAACAAAAATTCTGACCCATTCATCAAAGAAACAATGTGACCCAATTTATTTAGAAACTTCACAGTACCTGAAATTGCTCTGGCTTTTCTTGAAAGGAAAAACTTTCCGAAAATCCGTAAAATTCTTGAGAAAATACTCCTTAAAATTTTTGAGAAAATACTCCTTAAAATTTTTGAGAAAATACTCCATAAATATCAACAGTTAAAAAATATCTAACAATAAAAAATTTTTAAAAAAAATTTCCGATTTTAAAATTGTATTCCGAGTATAAGTCACGATTTCATAATCTCCGATTTATATGCCTTGAAGTCACGATTTACTAATAAAAATGTTATAAAAGTCCACGCTTGGAAAAAATACAGCTTAGAAAAGTAAAATTTCGTAAAGATTTGAAAATAAATAATATTTTTTAAAAATTAATGTTTACAGTTCAGATCAGATCCTTGGCAAAATATTCTTAAAAATTGCTATTATCGCTGCACCTCAAGTCTTCGAGAAATATTCGTTAAAACGCTAAAAGTTCGGCTCTGACTATCCTTGAGAAATATTTTCCGAAACATACAATTTCAAATCTGGTCATAATTGAAAACTATTTTTTAAACAACCCATGATTATGAAAAATTTCGGAGCACTCCTTCTGGTATCTCCGCCCACAAAGGGTCAACATTTATGAAAAGTCATACCTTCTATAAAATGTAAAATAAGAAGTGAATTATTTTCAAATTTCGCACATCTTAATATTTCTACAAACTCGAGATCTGGTATGAAGAACGAACCACTCATTCTGGTACCTCCCTCACAACGCGTGAAAATTTTGAATAACCATGGAGCTCATAGAACGCGAAATAAGCATCCAATTCCTTTCAAACTCGGCACATCGCATAATTTTTATCAAAACAATATTAGTTGAGAAGATGGAAAATATCGGACCAGCCCTTCTGGTACCTCCCCCACAAAAGCTACAAATTGTTGAATAGTTGTAACTCTCATGAAATACAAAAAAAAAACCCTGCGATTCTCTTTATATTCCGCACATTCCAATATTTTTTATTTACACAACTTCAGATCTGAAGATAATAGATATGGACCCACTCTCTCTATCACCTTCCCAACAATGGGTCAACATTTTTGTTCAACCCTCAAAAAATGCAAAATAAGCATCGGATTCCCTTCAAGTTTCACACATCCCAACATTGCTATTCAAATAAGATCTGATGTAAAATGATATATATATAAAGGCAAAATCCTTCTGGCACCTCCCACACAAAGGGTTAAAAATTTTGAATAACCTTTAATCTCTTAAAATGCAAAATAAGCATCCGATTCTCTCCAAATTTCATACATGCCAAAATTTTTACTAACGCAAGATTTGGTATTTGGTTGAGATGGCTTAGAAATGACAGCAGTCTAAAGTTGGTTGCAGTTTTTTTCTTATTTTTTTTAATCCTTGTTTATAGCTCTGGTCATCATTGACAAACATGCTTCAAAATATCACATTATTGATGTGGTTATTTTTGAAAAAAATATTCTTAAACAATAACCCATGTTTCTTTAAAAATCCAGATTTCAAATTATGGACTTTTTTGAAACAATTATTCTTAAAAATTCAATTTTTAATATTCATTAAAAGTCAAAGTTTATTGGCTCTTTTAAAGTCTTTTATATAAGCTCTGACCATCTTGAGAAAATATTCTTTAAAAGTCCACGTTTAGGTCTCAGATTTTTTTTCTAAAAAATAAAAACATTCTTAAGAATCAACTTTTTATCTTTGACAATTTTTGAAAATAAAATCCACATTTTTAGCTCTGATTAATTTTGAAAAATATTTTTTAAAAGTACCATTCAAAATTATAAAAAAAAAATTATTTAACTCTTTAAGGGTTCCTAATTCATTTGGAATTTCCCACATCATTTAACTATAATAACATAATATAATAAACAAAATTCCCCCAAGTTAATCATAGATTTATTTAACATTTATAATGTCATTTTTTGTTCTTTTTAAACTCAAAAGACAATCTCTTGGTGGCTTTCATTGATTCACATACATCCCCCTTGGGCATTATGGCTAATTTATCACCAAAATTCAAAAGAAGAACAACAGGTTTCAAATTTCAAAAGGAAAAAAATAGAATAAAATAAAATAGAATGTGCTAAATAATTATTAAAATTGATTTATCGTTTGCAAGTTTCAATAAAAACTATTTTTTATGAAAATAATAAAGACCCTTATTTTAATATTCTTTTTGTGTTTTTTTTTTTTTTTAATTTCAGAGCAACAGCCCATTTATGTTAATGGCAGAATTTAAAGAATTTTAAAGGTAAGATTGAATCAATATTAAAATTAATATTCTACATAGGCGTCCGCCGAAATGTTCAAATTTTTGAAAATATAACACATGACACTCCCAAGAAAAATTGGAAGTAAAAAAAAATCTCTTGACTATGGCAATATGTTCATAAATATTTATTAAAACCCATTAAGTCCTCTAAAGCCCGTGTTAGCGGTTACCTCAACGAATGTGACACCCCCCCCCCTCCTCTGCCTAAAATACATGAATAAATTCTTTTAATAACACCATAAATATGCTAATCAAATGTTAAACCGCTAGACCAGATGAACGTTTTTACGCAATTTTTAGACTAAATTGATTTCAGAAAAACAGCACCCAGACCCTGAATTCCCCACAACTGTGCACCACTCTTTTCGGAGTCAACTTGTTTAATTTTCTTTAATGAATGCAAATTTAAACAAATATAATATTAGACATGTTGATAGTTTATATAATATATGGTTTATTTACATAAACAGTGGAACCGCGGAAAATGACTTGTTATCAAAAATTGGTGACACCTTCCAGTAGACTATTTTTAGAATCTCTCACTTTAATTCATTTGAATTTTATCTTTTTTTAAGGGTCCCCAACTCCGTTGAGGTCCCACTGTATTATTCATTTTTACAGTTGGTGTAGAAGTTGAAAACACCGCATACACACACACAAATTATAATGAAAACAGTCCTCTATGTATCTGTCTATCTGGAAAAACAAGTTCCATTCCATTCCATTTGTTGCTGTTTCTTTACCATTCAATCGTCGTTAGCTTTGGTTACGTTTGTCACAATTTTTTTTCTGTTTGTCATCGTAAAGTCGTAATCATAAAAAAATTAGGTAAATAAATTCAAAATAAAAAAAAACTAAACAAAAATTGCATAACTTTGCAAAAAAAAGAGGGCCGCAAAAAATTATTTAATAAAAAAAAACACTTTTAATAAAAACAGAAAATACGCTTAAGGGGTTGATTTGTGATTGTTCGGCTTTACAGAAAAAAATGCGAAAAAACCCTCCGATACTCTTTTCCACACATTCCAATATTTTTGTAAACACAAGTTCAGGTGTAAAGATGATAGATATGGACCCACTCTTTCTATTACCACCCCAACAATGGATCAACTTTTTTGTACAACCTCTTAAAAAATGCGAAATAAGCATCGGATACCTTTCAAGTTTCACACATCCCAATATTTCTATTCAAATAAGATCTGATGTGAAAATGGTATATATAGGCAAACTCCTTCTGTTGCCTCCCACACAAAGGGTTCAAAATTTTGAATAGCCTGAAAGCTCTTAAAATGCAAAATAAGCGAATAAGCAAAATAAGAGAGAATCGGATCTCTCCAAATTTCATACATGCCAATATTTTTTACCAAAGCAAGATTTGGTATATACTGGGTGAGATAAAAAACTGCAACAAAGTCAAACGCCATAATTTTACTTTTTTAAATTTTATTGAATTTGAAAGCAAAAATGGCGGAATTTCTGAATATTTTTAAATGTGAATAAATCTTTTGTGTCTCGTACCATCGACCGTTACCGTGATGCTGGTAGCGTAGCCCGACGTCAAGGAAGTGGACGGAAGAAAACAGCAACATCAGCAGAAATGGTTCGAAAAGTGAAGAAGCGGCTTGATCGAAACCCGCGTCGCAGTGACCGAAAAATGGCTCTTGAGCTGAACATATTGCAATATTCCATTCGGCAAATATTGAAAAATTAGCTCGGGGAAAGCTATTGAAATCTCAAAAAGTGCAAGAACTTACACCGCAACACATAGAAAATAGACTCAAAAGAGCTAAAGAGTTCCTTCGCTTGTCCGAAAGCGGTGAACTGCCGAATTTGATTTTCTCCGATGAGAAAATATTCGTTGTCCGGCAGTTTGTAAACAAATAAAATGATCGTGTTTACTTGACAAAGAGGTCAACTGAAAATTTGCACCTTCGGTTGGACACCAGAACTCAAGGGCCGGTCTTGGTGATGGTGTGTGCCGCCATAACAGCCGATGGTCGCTCTCCGCTCGTATTAATCGACCGTGGCATCAGAAGAAATGCCGAATATTATCGCGTGCCTTAGACATGTAAACATTTCGGCCGCAGACCTTGAACATTCACCCTGGGCTCAACACCATCGCACTCAGCACGCGCCACCCAAGGAGGGATATAAAATGGTGTTTCTCACTTCATTTCCAGCGCACAATGGCCAAATCTCCAGATACCAATCCGTTGGACAATTGGGTCTGAAGTATTTTGGAACGCAAGGTTGGTACTAAAATATACCATAGTGTCGATCACCTCAAGCAAGTGCTTCGGCGGGCCAAAGTACCGCAGAGCAATATTCGGGCAGCGTGTGACGGTTTCATTGGCCGTTTGAAAGCCATAATACGTGCCACCGGTGACCAATTCGAACAAATCTAAACTTATTCTAAAATTTGTAGAAGACTGAGGACATATATTCCTTGACACGGCCAAAACTTGCCTTATCGAAATAAAGGCCTAAGACCCTAGAACCACTTGAGCCATTCAGGACATTTGGAGTTAATCTTGGGGTGTCCTTCGTCTGTTTGTCTGGCTGGCTGGAGCACATGATGACTCTCGAAGGAGTATCCGATTTGGTCGAAACTTGTTACTTACCAAACTTAGATTGAGTTCGGAGATGCGCAATATCGGCCCACTCCTTTTGGTACCTCCCTCGCTAAAGGTCAACAATTTCACTTACCTCATAAATCAAGCAACATTTTGTCAAACTTTCTAAATATGAATATTTTATCAGTGCTATCCACCTTATAGCTCCCCCTCAACGGATCAAAATTTTGAATAATTATAACTCTCATAAAGTAAGAAATAGACATCCGATTCTCTTCAAATTTCACACATTTCAATATTTTTATTAGCTGAAATCGTCATATTTTCATTAGTGCTGTGTCAGGTGGAAAAATGGACAATATAGGCCCACTCCATTAAGTATCTGCCAAATTTAAAATAGTTATAGCTCTAATAAAGTATGAAATATGCATTTGATGCTTTTAAAATTTCGCACATCTCAATATTTTTACCAAAATGAAATATAATGGAAGGTGGGATATAGCGGACCACTCCTTCTTGTACCTCCCCCCAGAGTGTCAACATTTTGAATAACTCAAAATGCTTATAAAATGCAAATATGCAACCGTTTATCTTGAAATTTCAAACATCGCAATATCGGTCCACTCCTTCTGATACCTCCCTATACATCCTAATATTTCTATCAACACAAAATCTGTTGCAAATATGAAAGGTATCGGTGTACTCCCCCAAAGGGGTTAAACTTTTGAATAACCAAAACACTTATAAAATGAGGAATAAGCATGGGATTCCCTTCAAATTTTACACATCACGAGAGGGAAGGGAGTGAAGTTGGGGGTAGAGGGGTGATCTTGTACAGAAAAATATAATACATAGAACAAAAGGATGATAAACCTGTAAAGAAAGTCTTAAAGTCGGGCGGGCCGACTTTATGATACCCTACACCACTTTGCTAATTTAGTAGAGCTTCGCATAACAATTAAGAGTTTTTATGGGAGAATTCAATCATACATGCTATGATTATAATTATAATTTAAAGTTCAAAGGACTAAATATGCCGAAGTATTTGTATCTTTTAAATTCGGACTTCTATTGCCCATTTGGTGCAAAATTAATTTGAAATCAGATAAAGATATATATGGGAGCTATATCCAAATCTGAACCGATCTCGATAAAATTTGGCAAAGATTTTTCTGAGCTGTATTTGATATATTTCCCTGAATATCGTTGGTACGGAGTGCATATTAGTATGTCAAATTTGGTGAACCGATCTTCACCAAATTTGACATACTAGCTTCTAAACTCAATTCGGTCGTAAGTGTCAAACTTCATCCAATTTGGGCAAATATCCAATCCAATTTCAAAGGTAAATCGGACGAAGTTATATATGGGAGCTATATCCAAATCTGAACCGATCTCGATAAAATGTATTTCTGAGCTGTATTTGATATATTCCCCAAATATTGTTGTTACAGAGTACATATTACGGCTGCCGAGGACAAAAATAACAAATCGGATGAACAATATATATGGGAGCTATAGCTATATAATCGTACGTGCAAAATTACATACTATTCGGATATTACAGATATTACACGTTTGGTGCACAAATATATATATATATATATATATATATATATATATATATATATATATATGGGTGCTATATCAAAATTTTGACCGATTATCTCCAATTTCAATAGGGTTCGTCCTTGGACCAAACAAAGGATTTGTGCAGAATTTCATCTGGATAGGACAATAAATGCGAACTGTCCCTTGTTTACAAAAATACATGGACAGACGGACGGACGGACATGCATAAATCGACTAAGAATGTGATTCTATGCAGATCATCAAAAGGAACTATTGGCCTATCTCTTTTCTTTTTGCCTGTTACAAACAAATCCACAAAGACATAGTACCCTGAAAACCTTGTGGTGTAGGGTATAAAAACAAAAATGTGTTCGTTAAGAGTGAATCAGCTCTATTTTGAACGAATTTTGCATCAATTCAAACACGAGGAAAATATGCTCACTCATATTCAAGCGACATTGAACAATTGAATTTGCTCAATTTTTTTCTGTTCTCAGGAGCGCACTGGCTCGAATTTCTGTGAGTATCAGTCTTTCTACTCTAATTACACAACCCCTAAAAGTATGCATCATTCCTTACAAATACCGAGTTATTAAATATCCCTAAACGAGGCCCCTAAAAGTATGCACTACTCATTAGGCACGTTCAAAAATATAAGCAAATTTTATTATTTTTGTACCATGTTGCTAGAAAATCTTTTCCGAGCCTGGAAGAACCTTGTGTAGGTCTTCTACACATAGCAAAAATTTCTGTAGGTCTCATATGCATGGAAGATATTTTGTAGTTTTGCTATAGATATGAGACCGTCTACATGACTTTTATAAAATACCTTGT